AAATGTTTCAAAACACTTGATAAGATTCATCACATAGATCCTACAAGACAAAATTATTCATAAAGAAAAACTAATAGTTCTTTTAAATAAGTATGTTCATTTGAATAATCAAAGTCAATGACGCTCAAACGAAAACTAGATTAAAATTTTTCTTGTGAAATTAGCTCTAAGTTTAATGTCTCTCAGTATATGGATGTCCAAAATATTTAATAGGAAAGATATAAAATAAAAAGTTTTCTATACAAACATTGAATATCTGCAAAGATGGACTAGCTACTTTCAAATTAGCAATGAGAAATTATGAAATAATCTCAAATAACATCAATATAAGAACAACAATCTATCCTATTTATCTCCTAATAAACAAAATTAAAATACCATGTTTATTATTGCAGAAATCTCATTATGCTCACTGCGCTTGTATTAATTATATTATATGGTCAGTATTAGTCGGAAAACGATAATAGTACAAAGTATGAACTCACCATGTTGTAAGATCTCGATATCCAATAATGTATATATCTAACTTGAACAATGAATACAGTTAACTGTTCGAAAGGACCATCAAGTAAAGCCAGACAATCATCAAAATCGTTCACAATGATACATAATTTAGTAAGTGTTGAAGAGGAAAAAGTCAATGGTTGTGAAATATATAACGACAAACGTGGATAATCATTGATAGATGATGACATAATACTCAGATGCTTCAGATTGTCAAAGAAAGTAAAGATAGTTGCGTAAACATCCTTCGTATACTCTTTTGGTGTTATTTCAATGTTGTTCTCATTACTGATAAGAATAAGATTCGTAATTTGTTGTTTCAAAATCTGTCCAATGTGAGAATCATCTAAACGAAATATATATTTCATCTGAGTATTTGAATATGTTTCTAGTGGTGACGGAGCCATTGAGACCCGTGAGGCTCGAGTCTCACTTAGATCTAAGATGCTCCGCCACTCCTGTATGTTTCTATGGTAATCTTTTCAAAGATTAGTATACATGAATATCTTACCAATGAAATAACATGAAACGACTGCTTTATTGAAATTAAAAATTTTAAGTTGAGTGAGATTTGGATAGATACCAGCATAAAGAATACATTCCATAGAAACCGATTCAACGATGAGTGATTTGACATTGTTATGAATTCTTGGTAATATATCAACATAAAATCGATTTAGTATGGAACTAGGAATTGAAGAAATCTCATCAGTTGATTGTGATATCGAAACAAAATTAAGGATGTTGCTGAAGATTTCTTCTTGTGCTATAATATCGAGTCGTTGATTATCAATACCAAGTAAAGAATGAAGGACATCGATATTGTCGAGTTTTTTCAAAATGAGAAATAATATTTCATTTGGAAGATCAAGAAAGTGAACATTATATTCATTCATCATTAAATGCACTGGTACACTTGTTTTAAGATGATGTGTATATATACTTATGTATTGATTCTTTGTTCATAAACACTCTCCTTATTAGAGAAAAAAACAGCGTTGACCTTTTTTTTTTGAACGTAACATATTATATTGATATATAGGCATAGGCCTCAAACAGACTAGACGAATTGAAAGTCAATTAAGAAATGTGGAATGAATGGAAAAAGGCAGAAAGGAAAAATGTCGAAAGGAAAAAATATCGAAAATAAAAATATCGAAAACAAGAATATGAGGTGAAGATGAACATTAAGATTGAAGCTGAGGGAGATTTGTACTTCAATACACTCTCGTTTTCAGCATTTCTATTATTTTTGTTTTCGATATTTTTATTTTCGACATTTTTTCCTTTCGATATTTTTCCTTTCTGCCTTTTTCCATCATACCGATCAATTAGATGGGCAAATCACAGAAAAAATGGCACGTTCGGTATGTTCAGCCGGCGAGATAGATATAAGGATGCTGTTGCTTTTGGGTCATTTTATTACCATCATAAGAGAAAGAGAGTATCATGTCGAAGTGACAAGGATGAACATAGGAAAATAAGATTGCAATGATAAAAGACAATCAAAATGGTCGTATAGTTTGTTAATTCGAAAACTAGCGGATAAATACAATTTGTTAACAGTTGTATCGTTAATATTCTCCATTGTAGAGAATTCTCTGATTCTGTCTCACTTGAAGAAAGTTATTAAACGAAAGCATTGATGAAAGTGAATAAAGAAGGCTCAATGAAAGAAAAAAAAATTAACTAGTGTTGATTTTTCTATTTCAATAATTGAACGAAAATGAAAATAGAACTGATGTATTCTTAAGCATTATGTTATTCACTAATCTTTCAGATACCTAAAGACATGCTTGCTTCTTCAAAGAACTTTTCCTGATAGAAGAGACATAACCTTCCTATAGTGGATACTTTTGAAAAGTCGCATAGATGTCCACTCTCCCTCGGACAATACAAAAGGATTGTAGCCAGTATCAAACTAAGGGAAATTGTATTAACTCAATACTAGCAACAATGCTTTGTTATTAAAGTTGTAATATAAAAGTAATGAAATTAGTCAAAGGTACTAGTCTCTCTTTAGCATTACATTAATCAACATGAATTGCAATACTTTGGTGGTCGGATCGTAATACAAAAGTATGGATGTTAGCAATAAGCCAATGTAATGCTAATGTTAAGCGGACACCTCTAATTAAAGTATCTTCGAATTGACATAATTATAACGATGTGAAACGGTCACAAATAATGCCTCCTATATGATCCATTAAAATGGTGTTTTTGCTTTTTGAACAGTGAAAATGATTATAAAAATACTAAAATAATGCTTACAACACACACCATTTTTTGGCATTATCTGTGACCGTTTCACATCGTTATAATTATGTCAATTCGAAGATACTTTAATTAGAGGTGTCCGCTTAACATTAGCATTACATTGGCTTATTGCTAACATCCATACTTTTGTATTACGATCCGACCACCAAAGTATTGCAATTCATGTTGATTAATGTAATGCTAAAGAGAGACTAGTACCTTTGACTAATTTCATTACTTTTATATTACAACTTTAATAACAAAGCATTGTTGCTAGTATTGAGTTAATACAATTTCCCTTAGTTTGATACTGGCTACAATCCTTTTGTATTGTCCGAGGGAGAGTGGACATCTATGCGACTTTTCAAAAGTATCCACTATAGGAAGGTTATGTCTCTTCTATCAGGAAAAGTTCTTTGAAGAAGCAAGCATGTCTTTAGGTATCTGAAAGATTAGTGAATAACATAATGCTTAAGAATACATCAGTTCTATTTTCATTTTCGTTCAATTATTGAAATAGAAAAATCAACACTAGTTAATTTTTTTTTCTTTCATTGAGCCTTCTTTATTCACTTTCATCAATGCTTTCGTTTAATAACTTTCTTCAAGTGAGACAGAATCAGAGAATTCTCTACAATGGAGAATATTAACGATACAACTGTTAACAAATTGTATTTATCCGCTAGTTTTCGAATTAACAAACTATACGACCATTTTGATTGTCTTTTATCATTGCAATCTTATTTTCCTATGTTCATCCTTGTCACTTCGACATGATACTCTCTTTCTCTTATGATGGTAATAAAATGACCCAAAAGCAACAGCATCCTTATATCTATCTCGCCGGCTGAACATACCGAACGTGCCATTTTTTCTGTGATTTGCCCATCTAATTGATCGGTATGATGGAAAAAGGCAGAAAGGAAAAATATCGAAAGGAAAAAATGTCGAAAATAAAAATATCGAAAACAAAAATAATAGAAATGCTGAAAACGAGAGTGTATTGAAGTACAAATCTCCCTCAGCTTCAATCTTAATGTTCATCTTCACCTCATATTCTTGTTTTCGATATTTTTATTTTCGATATTTTTTCCTTTCGACATTTTTCCTTTCTGCCTTTTTCCATTCATTCCACATTTCTTAATTGACTTTCAATTCGTCTAGTCTGTTTGAGGCCTATGCCTATATATCAATATAATATGTTACGTTCAAAAAAAAAAGGTCAACGCTGTTTTTTTCTCTAATAAGGAGAGTGTTTATGAACAAAGAATCAATACATAAGTATATATACACATCATCTTAAAACAAGTGTACCAGTGCATTTAATGATGAATGAATATAATGTTCACTTTCTTGATCTTCCAAATGAAATATTATTTCTCATTTTGAAAAAACTCGACAATATCGATGTCCTTCATTCTTTACTTGGTATTGATAATCAACGACTCGATATTATAGCACAAGAAGAAATCTTCAGCAACATCCTTAATTTTGTTTCGATATCACAATCAACTGATGAGATTTCTTCAATTCCTAGTTCCATACTAAATCGATTTTATGTTGATATATTACCAAGAATTCATAACAATGTCAAATCACTCATCGTTGAATCGGTTTCTATGGAATGTATTCTTTATGCTGGTATCTATCCAAATCTCACTCAACTTAAAATTTTTAATTTCAATAAAGCAGTCGTTTCATGTTATTTCATTGGTAAGATATTCATGTATACTAATCTTTGAAAAGATTACCATAGAAACATACAGGAGTGGCGGAGCATCTTAGATCTAAGTGAGACTCGAGCCTCACGGGTCTCAATGGCTCCGTCACCACTAGAAACATATTCAAATACTCAGATGAAATATATATTTCGTTTAGATGATTCTCACATTGGACAGATTTTGAAACAACAAATTACGAATCTTATTCTTATCAGTAATGAGAACAACATTGAAATAACACCAAAAGAGTATACGAAGGATGTTTACGCAACTATCTTTACTTTCTTTGACAATCTGAAGCATCTGAGTATTATGTCATCATCTATCAATGATTATCCACGTTTGTCGTTATATATTTCACAACCATTGACTTTTTCCTCTTCAACACTTACTAAATTATGTATCATTGTGAACGATTTTGATGATTGTCTGGCTTTACTTGATGGTCCTTTCGAACAGTTAACTGTATTCATTGTTCAAGTTAGATATATACATTATTGGATATCGAGATCTTACAACATGGTGAGTTCATACTTTGTACTATTATCGTTTTCCGACTAATACTGACCATATAATATAATTAATACAAGCGCAGTGAGCATAATGAGATTTCTGCAATAATAAACATGGTATTTTAATTTTGTTTATTAGGAGATAAATAGGATAGATTGTTGTTCTTATATTGATGTTATTTGAGATTATTTCATAATTTCTCATTGCTAATTTGAAAGTAGCTAGTCCATCTTTGCAGATATTCAATGTTTGTATAGAAAACTTTTTATTTTATATCTTTCCTATTAAATATTTTGGACATCCATATACTGAGAGACATTAAACTTAGAGCTAATTTCACAAGAAAAATTTTAATCTAGTTTTCGTTTGAGCGTCATTGACTTTGATTATTCAAATGAACATACTTATTTAAAAGAACTATTAGTTTTTCTTTATGAATAATTTTGTCTTGTAGGATCTATGTGATGAATCTTATCAAGTGTTTTGAAACATTTTAAGAAAATTCATTTTTATATAATATCTGGCGGTTTTGTTGAATTATTTACTAGTTCTTATGCATTTTGACTTAATACATACAAAGGAATGGTTATTACCAGAGAATACATATACAGTATACCCGTCAGAAGTCCCGGACATCCGAAAGTCCAGATAAAACTTGAAAACTGTCATGGCAAGCACTAATTCGAGTTCAATCAATTGAAATAGGATGAAGTTTTGGTTTGAAGCATTGCTTTTGACTTTCATGACTTTGATCTCAATGTTCATAGAATTGTTTCAACTCGTTTTACTTATCAATCCAAACAAGGCTGATTATCGGATTTATTTTACGTAATTTTCTTACAAATTGAATCAAAACGTTGGTCACATGTGCGATAAACAGCCCAGTTTGAATTGATAAGTAAAAGGAGCTGAAAAAATTCTATGAACATTGAGATCGTCGTGAAAGTTGAAAGCAATATTTCAAACCGAAACTTCAACCTATCTTGATTGATTAAACTTCGGTTGGTGCTTGCCATCACAGTTTTTCGAGTTCCATCTCAGGTAAATTTTGAAAAATGTTTAGCTTTATCTGGGTTTTCACATGTCCCAGGACTTCTGACAATACTATATTTCATAGAATTCGGGAACCATTTAAAACAGAATTTGGAAAATAAATAATATCTATTGATTAATAGTTCATTTGAATTTGTTTGTTAGCTTCATTAATAAAGATGACCTTATCAATCATTGTTATCTATTTAGGATGATCTACCTAAATTAAAATGCTTCTCATTGACATGTTATAATCGTACTCGTGGATATGAAAATCTAGTTGTACCTCTTCTTCGTCGAATGTCATATCTCGAAGAATTAATTTTATATATTCATATTTTGAATGGATCCACATTCATCTCGGGTACTTATCTTGATAATGAAATTCTTATTCATATGCTACAACTTCAAACATTTACATTTTATTTTGCTTCTGAAAATGATATTGTTGATTCAGCTATTCGTATATCTGATTCAGATATTGAACGAACTTTTACAAATGTAAAACATGGACAGGTCGCTTCAATAGTAGATTATTTCGAATCTGACTGCATGATTTGTCGCGTTTTTTCACTTCCAGTTAAATTTCATCGTCTTGAACCCGTGACAAATAATATTCCAAATATTGTATTCAATTCTGTTACTCATGTAAAATTACATGATAAAAATCCATTCAAACATGAATTTTTTATTCGATTTGCCCAAGCTTTTCCATTTCTTCAAAGTTTATCTATTCACAATCTTGAGCCACCCAACTGGAGACCTCACGAATATCATCGTTATCATACTGATTGGTGCTCAATTGTTGACTATCCTTGTCTTATTTCACTTGACGTGAATGATGCATGTAGTTATTATGTTGAACATTTTCTCAATGAAACAAAAACACATCTACCTTGTTTAACAGAATTAAAAATTTGGCATGAATGTTTGGAAAGGGTGACAAGAAACTTTACAAGAGATGAAACGCGACGTAATTGTGCTAAAGTAAAACGATTAATTATTGAACGTCCTACAGTTTATTCGAAAGATGTTTATAACTATTTTCCTTTGTTGTCAGTTTAATTTTGTGAAAGATATTCTCTGATCTGTCATGTAAATGTTAAACTTTTTTTAACAATATGAAGAAGAAAAAGAAAAAAAATGTGCATGGTATAGGAAGACCAAATCGGTTTTAAAAGCTGAGTTATTATTAAATAAACTGCTAAAATAATCATACGGTTTTATGTTACATTACGATTCAAAAATAAAATTGCATCGATGAATAAAATTTGAAAGTGAAATCCACCACTCGAAATCATCACTTTCATGAGCTGTACGAATGATAATATGAATAATTGTAATGAGTGAGTCGAATTTTTGAACGACATTGCCAGTTGTATAGTTTGGTTGTACTATTGAAATTAATGGAAGAACTCACTGCTAATAATATACATCGAAATAGTACGCAGAAATTAGTAAAAGGAAACTTGGTAATAACGGACTATTCTGATGAAAATACAATACATATGAAAGGACCTGATCAAAAAGCATGCACTTTTTCCCACTTTGAAAACAGTATAAAATGAAACTACTCTGAGAACTAGTAACGAATCTGATGTTAGTTTGCCGAGATCTGGTCCTGTTTTTATAGGCGTTTTCCAGCGCCGACTGACTGAGTGCCAGTAAGAGTCACGAGGGAACCTTTTCAGGTGTTACCCTCAGATTTTAGTGAATTTTTGTCTATACATACTAGATAGTGTTCTAGTAAAAACTCTAAAAGGATTCGAGTTCCTAGGGCTTCCTTCAAAAGTTATGAATATTTTAATTCTGCTCCTATAAGCTATACAGTAAACGAAAAATGTTCTGGGACACGTAAATCAATCCAAACCTTCCTCCAAATCAATTTCGGTCAAGGTACATGCAAATTCCATGAAATTTTGAGAATATGTTGGGCCTGTGGTGGAGAAGCTATGGTAAAATTTTCAGCCCTCTACCATGAGATTTGACAGAGATATGCACAAAACAATGGCCAAATAAAGCTCATTTGGCAACCCAGTTTTCTCTTTCCAGTCTCTTTTAATATATTAAAAATTTCTTTTTTTTGTTTGAAAGAGCATGTCAGAATGCAGAGTATGACAGAGTTCTTTTTTCAAGTTCTTATTTTTTTAAGCGAAGAAAACAATGATAAGTTCAATAACTCATGAAACCTCAAAAAAAGTTTTGAAAAATCCTAGGTTTTTCAGAGTTTTTGAAAGAATTTTGAGTTATTGAGCTTGTCATCGTTTTCTTCGCTTAAAAAAATAAGAACTTGAAAAAAGAACTCTGTCATACTCTGCATCCTGACATGCTCTTTCAAACAAAAAAAAAGCTTGTCAGCGCAGCCCCTTTGGGGGTAAAATGTGGGTGTGGGGTGTGGGTGTACATTTTATCCACACCCACACCCACATACACCCACACCCACCCACACCCACACCCACACTCATCCACACCCACAACCCACACCCACACCCCACACCCACCCTTAATAACAAATCTTTCTCTTTTTTTTGTTAGTATTGTTTCATTGGTATTTTTAATCAATAGATCAATCACATTTGGTCCATTTCGAAAATTTTCCATAGATTTTTTTACTGGAATAATATTACTACAATCTCCTGATTTATTCAGTTCTACCTTATGTAGGTGATCATATCCGAAAAATTCTTTAGAGCCGTTAATGAATTAAAATTCATTTTTCGCTATATCTTGTATTCTGCAAATATTTGATTAAGAATTTCTTCTACTTCACTCATTGATATTACAGTCGTTGTTGCTGCACTTACATTACTTCCTGTACTCTTCATAATTTTAAGAACAATATTGAACAATAATGAAAACAAAGTTGTAATTGATGTAATGATGTTCTGAGAAAGGAGAGGCTGTTCACGTAAGTCCAAGAGAAAATCTATATAGTATTTTCGAAATTTTTTTTATATCAAAAATTTCTTTATCATTTTCTAATATTCTTTCTGTGAATAAAGTAAAATCAACATCCATCGTGTGATTATATTGGTTCGGTGATGAGAAATTCTTTTTGTTGTTTATATTGCTAGTTTCCGTATTGTCAACCAGTTTACCATCAGTATAAGGAAATGTAAAAGAATTACTTGGTGCACCATTCAAAAGACAGGATAGATCTTCTTCGTCAAGTGATTTTGAAATGGATTCTTGATGATGTGTATAGATGTGGAATTTGTATCTTCAAAATGTTCTATAGATGGATTCACAGAGAGGAGCTAATTCACATCTTTGTTTAAATGCTGAATCATTGCAATGAACTAAATTTATGTGTGCATATAAAGAATTAAATAAACAATATACAAAAGGATTATCACACAATTGATAGAAATAGTAATTTTTACTTATTTGATTTCTTTCAACTAGAAAAATCGAGCACTGAAATAGTATTATGTAATTCGTGAAAGAATGTTTTATATATGAGAGAGTGAAGGATATGGAAACAAGCCGTACTAATAGTTTAACTTACAATGCACGTGTGATTTTATAGATAGATACTTTCTGAACAAAGAAGAAGTAACATTATATACCTTAAAAACTTTTAATAATATGTTCATCATTAATAAATGTCTTTAGTCATTTCAGTGAGGATTCAGGATTTTCAAGAGGGGGGTGGCATTTTCTAAATTTAGTGGGGTAACCACAATTTCAGGCCAGAGAAGCTCAGCCCCAAACGTTTTTAAAAAGTGAACAAAGGTAGTGCTAAGTATTTTTCATTTTTCTTGCAAAAAGGAGAACTAAGGTTCTAGCCTATTTGAAGTATACGAGTCTAGTTGAGACAGGTATTGCAACACTTTACAATTTCTTACAAGGTATGCTCCAAACTCACACTTTTTAATCCTAAAAGTGGCACTTTTCGTGTTCGATGGCTACGATGAATACGATTTCACATGAAAATTCGGACCTAAATGATTGTCAAAGATAATTTCCAATATACTGTCTAAACTAGAAACTATGCACTCAACATTAGTCACATACTATGTAAGGAGCATAATAATTCCAAATGGAATAGTTACAAGCGTTACTCTTTGTACCCAAACCGCTTCAAAAATTAAAATATGTTGCATTAGAACAGAGTTAAAATCAGTGATAAAATGAACAATATGATAGTTCGATTTAAAATATATTTGTAAGTCTACCCATCAACATTTCAGGGAGTGTCGGAGTGTTCGTCTTTATTCGTTACATCAGTATTAAGGGCTTTTACAATGCATCACATCCAGTCTGTTGGAATAGGGTCGCAAAGCTTTTTAGAGCGATAAACATCTGCTCTCAAGAGAAAATTTTCGACAGAACTTTGTCCGATTTTACTGATATGAAGTCAATTTTAGATGACATTATCAGATAGCGATTCGTTTCGCTACTGGTTGCAGCTCAGATCAAGACGCAAATGTAGAGAACCACCTAGAATAGCTGTGAAACATCGTTGCAACAAAATTTTGACTATTCCTATCACGAATCGCTTTAAACAAGAAGTGATCATTTTTGATATCACAGATTTTTCAGTAAGTAAATTCGCATTAAAAGTCGGCTTTATACCTCTTAGATTTCTCAGTAAATGATTTTCCAGAAGGAAAATCTGAACTTGTTTTTTTAGCACAAGACTCATAAGAATGAAACAAGAATTTTCGATAGCCTGTATGAGATAATTTACGAGAGTATTTTTAACGAACGAACTACTCAAGAAATGTATCCAATTCAATATCGTTCTATACACAGTGGCAATGTAGGCGCCCATGCTTCGATCCGTTACTAAAAGTTGTAATGAGAAATTTCGAATCAAACTTATTGAAAACAGATTTGTTGCCGATCAGATCAATAATTTGAATCTAACACAAAAATTTCCCTATCTCTCTTATGAAAGTATATTGAGACTACAATGACTAGATTGGAAACATCCTAGAATCAGAAATGAGTAAATAATTATTTTCATCAGAAAAATTAATCGATTTCTCCTTTGATTTGAAAAATTAATATTGCTCTTCCATTTTATCAAAGAAAAATATCGGATATTGCATAGGATGAACTCAAGTGTCTTGCTCACTCTGCTCAGAATAGTCTTTCAAACGAAAAACAATTCTACTTTTCAAGAGAACTCAAAAATTTCGAGGGAAGGCAGCTCAGGCCCCCCTAGTCTCCCTTGTAGTTACTGCACTAACTTCATTTACTGATTTTATTTTTGACCTTATATTGTTACCCAAATATTTTAAAAATTTCCGTCGTCACTTCTATTTCCAGGGGGGTGGCGATCACCAAATAGCCGAAATGGTGGATCCGCCAATGAGCCAATTTAAAACGTTATCTGTAATCATATCCATTGGTTTTTTTTTAGTAGAATAGAACAAATAAATAATAAAATAAAATCGCAGAAGAAGTTGAATGTAAGAAATATAATATGAATTTAAATTAAGTTCAAGTTTGAATTAATAAGAAAAACAAAAAAACCTATTTGAAGAATATATGTATAAAGAAAGTACACTTATGCACCATAATTATAAAAAGCAAGCTGTTATATTTTATTTACTATTAAGTGTTCTTTAGAAAAAAAAACTCATGATTCTGCAACGACGACAATAGTTGTTCAAATAGAATACGATAAAAGTAATACCAATAAAAAAATCTATTACTCTGATATAAAAAGAAACCAAAGCACATGTTCATTTTATGCAAGAATCATGCCATAGTGTAGGTGAAAATATGGTGATATTTTATATAAAGATTCTAAATAATAAACGTAAATACAGAGTTAATATACTTTTATAATTCTTAAATAAGATTATTGTTAATTAAGAGATGCTTTTGATGAGATGATGATTGAATTTAATATTATTCTTAAATGAATAACAGCTAAGCAAGATGAATAGATTAACACAACAATAAAAACAAAAGAAAAATTCATTCATCTTCATGCCCTAAACAAAATAAAAATAAACGACATTTTCCATCGTCAGAGAATGTCACTCAATTATTCTACAATAACAGATTGTGAAATGTAAGAAAGAAAACAAATGTATGAAAATAGTTCT